CTATTTTATTGCACTGTCTAGGACTTCCAGAATAATGTCGAATATCTATCTATCTATCATCTATCTATCTATCTATCTATCTATCTATCTATCTATCTATCTATCTATCTCCTTTCATATTTTGCATTGCTTTTTGCGTTCTTTTATTCCTTTTAAAAAATTTTCTCGAGTCATTTTGAGTTTTTATTTTATGTCTTTTCAATCATTTATCACTTAGAAACTTATCCAAATTTATTTTGGAATGCTAGGTGCTGGTTTCCATCTGCTTCCCACTTTGGTTCTCTGTCCCCTTTTACTATAAACTTAAATGGAATTTAGCTATAATTCTTTTCCAAGATATATTTTTGACTAAATCATTCTGTATGTTTAGGAAGAACTGAGGATAGCTTCTCTAGCCTTGGGATTCTAGATCTCTTTTCTGATACTTTCATAAATTGACACTACTTTTTCTCTGTCTTCTCTTCCACCTAGCCTGTTTTTTCTTCTTTGCCTCTGTGGCTCCCATCCTATTCAATTTGAAGTCCACTTCTAGAGTGGAGCACCAGCTTGTTGGCTTTCAGAGTTTCTAAGTGACAAATCTTTCTGGCAACTTTGGAGCTTCCTACTCATCCCTTTATACTTGCAGTTTCAGCTTGTAGAATCAGTGACTCGCTAACTGGTTTGCCAATCTCATATTGATCTCCTTTGTGTTTTAGCAAATATTTGGTCTTCTGGGGTCTCCCATTGTCAGGGCCTTTCAATATTCTGTTGCTTTCATTTTTTCGCATACAAACATGATTGTTAAGTTTGTCTCCATCTGCTAATATTGTCAAATTTTTTTTTTTTTAACATAGTTACACTGTGGCCATGAACTGGGATTCTTTTGTTATAACTGTTTGGTTATCCTCGAGGTTCTGTCTCTTTCTATGATAGTATTCTGGAGATTCAGACACTATACTGCCTCCCTAAAATTTCCTATAGTCTTCAATATCTGTGGATTACTTGAAAGGATTATTTAAAATACATTGTAAATCAAGCATGGTGGCTGAAATCTCAGCCTTCTGGGAGGCTGAGGCAAGAGGTATGCAAAGTTGGGCCCAGTCAGGGGAACTTAGTGCCTATGTGAGACTCTGCCTCAAAATAAAAATAAAAAAATAAAAAAAATAAAAAAGGGCTGTGATGTACCTTAATGCAAACATCCTGGGTTCAATCCTCAGTATCGAAAAAAATTAAAAAAAACAGATTAAATTTTATTTTTATTCAATGAAGCATGATCTTCATTGCTTTCTAGGGTTGGATAATATTCCATTCCATGTGTTCAGTGCAGTTCATCTGTTCTGTTGACAGACACTCACGTTGCTCCTGTTTCTTTCTCATAAACATGGAGGTACAGACAGTTGTGTGAGGCTGTGGTCTCACTTTTTCTGTGTGTGTGTATTCAGATGAAGGATACTGGGTCATAGTAGCTTTAATCAATCAGAAGACATGTCAAAACAAATATAGATGAGAATTTGAATCTTTTCAGAAACTGTTCAGGTCATGTTTAAAAATAGGTTCCTTTTTGGCTTTCTTAGTCTGAAACTAATGACCCACAAATGTTACTCTGCCCCACACCTCCCTACTCCCCACTTGAAGAAGATGCTTAGACTTAAAATCAGAATCCAGTTAAAAATAATGGTATTTGTGATGACTGTCTAATATGGCCAAACAGGGAGAAGCTGTGAGTGTTTAAATGTTAATTATTCCTCTGCTCATTGACCTATAGTTCTGATTTTATCTGTAGCCTCTTCTCACCTAACAGTTTTTGGCCAACTTTACTGACTGCCAATTGTCTGAATGTGGTTGATACTAAGTTGTTTGTAAGCTGCTTGGTATTTACTTTTTGTAATTACCTCACTTTATTTTTTACATAAATTTTATTTTGGTATATTTAAAGGCATACAACATGATGTTGTGGAGCATGTATGAGCAAATTAACATATTCTCATCTCAGTAACTCATTTCTGATTTTTTTTTTTTTTTGTGGCAAGAGCAATGAAAATTTAGTCAACAATGTCATGACTGAATGCCCTCACGGTATGCATCAGGGATCTAGACTTGTTCATCCCACACATCTACTTCTTGTACCTCTGGCCTACCCTGACCTCCCACTCGTGGTAGCAAGTGTTTTGCTAATTCTGTATATTTGAATTTTTTTTAACATGCCACTTATAAATATGCTCATACAATGTTTTCATTCTGTATCTAGCTTCCTTAGTATAATGTTCTCCATGCTCATCCATGTTGTGGCAGAGAGCATGATCTTGTCTTTAGGGTTGAATAACATATCATTCCGCATGTTCAGTGCAGTTCATCTGTTCATGTGTTGACAGGCACTTAGGCCGCTTCTGTATCCTTTCTACTGTGGATAACGCTTTTACAAACATGTGAGTACAGACTTCTGTATGAGATGGGTGATCTCACTTTTTCTGTATGCATGTCCAGATGAAGGTTGCTGAATCATGGGAGATTTATTTTTAATTTATTTGGAAGCTTTCTTAATTAAAAAACCGAAATAGTTTCCAATACATGCAAACCAGATGTCACATACAGATTCAGGTTTCTGGATGCTCTTAAAAACTTGAGAAAATCTGATGTCATTAGGTTCACATGTTCATTTAGAAGCTTTCCTCCAGTTGACAAGAAAATATGTTCTCGTGATACTTTCTTCCCAAAGTACTATTCTCATGTACTTATCTTCCAGCTTGCAGTCATCCTAAACTTGTAACCCTTTCATTGATTTAAACTAAAAATCATGCTGTTGACTTTTAAATATTTTTATTTAGATATCCTGCATACTCCCCCAAATCCACATATTTAAAATCAAACTTACCACTTTTTCTAAGACCTAATTTTCTTCTAGTATTCGCTATATGGCCCTGTCAACAGAATTACATTCCTACAGTTGCCCAAACTAGAAAAATCCTTAGCGTTATTCTTTCTTCTCATTTTACCTACAGCTTTTTGTCATGTGCAAAACTATGACACATTTACAGCTTCACTGTCATTGTGGACAGGGTTTTATATCTCTTTCCCTTTTTAACATCTGGAAAACTTTACTTTCCAAGATGGATCAGAATTACTAAGTACCTGAATTATGTCTTCTGCCCCAACAAGCAGTTGCTGCTACTAGCAGGATTTAAAGTATGTGATATATTGGATCAGATTTATATATTTTTGGCTCCACTAGATTAAGGATTTCTTAAGAATAGGGATAACAGGCTGGCCAGATAGCTCAGTGGACGAAAGTGCCTGCTTAGGCAGAGTGCAGGGTTCGATCCCGGGCACCACAAGCCATATTGGCCCCGCCCCAGGGGGTGGTGAGACAGTGGATTGAGACTGGGTGTGGTGGTGCATGCCTGTAATCTCAGCACTTGGGAGGCTGAAAACAGAAGGATCACTACAAGTCTGCCGTACTTAGTGAGAACCTGTACTAAATACATTAAAAGGAAAAAAAAAAGGATAGAGATGACTTAGTCAACTTTGTATCACCAGAAGTAAAACAAGCACTGAACTCATTAAATGTGTTAAACAAATGTTAATTTTACAGATCAATGAACATTTCTGTATATGATTTCACTTTAAATATTTTATGTTTAATTCTTTGGTGAAACCAATTTTTTGATACTATTTTGTTGGCGACTTTGGATGATTCTAGAATCTTAAAATTTTTACATGACAAAACGGTTCAATCAAAAGTTAATTTATTGACCAACTAATTAAACTGTAATTTTCTGTAAATTAAAAGTCTTAAATATCTAAGAATGCAAGGTATTATGTCTGAAAAAATGTGTAAATATTTATAAAATAGATCCCACGGGAGCAACTGAACAGCTGTTGAGATCTGGCACATCACTGTGCCAGCCTGAATTTAATGACCTACATGTGAAGGGCTACATATCTAATTACTAATCCTCTACCAGCTACTCTCTGCCCTGATATGGAGGCAGCTGAAAAAAGATGCCCTAGGAACAAGTCAGAAAAGGATTCAGACTTCACTGCCAATGCTCAGTTAACTGAGACCATTTAGATTTGAAATGAGTTAGAAACAGAGGACACACATATTTTATAGCTCACATAATTTTCAAATACAATTTGAGTTTGAGGCAACAATGACTTGTTTTTAGTTTTCATTCCTTCAGTGACTCTCAAATTAAGATTTTAATTTTCCTCTAAACATGTTCAAATGTAGTCAAGTAACAACAAAAATTAGGGGTGTGTAGTGGCACATGCCTGCAATCCCAGCACTCGGGGAGGCTGGGGCAGGAGGATCCCTGAATTCTAGACCAGCATGGATTACACAGTGAGTTAAAGGCCAGTCTGAACTATACAGTGAGATCTTGTCTCAAAACACAAAACAAAAATTGCGGTTTCTCCGTACAGAATAATTTCTACTCAAAGATTCAAATCTCATTTTTATCTTCAAGTTCTACAATAATGACTTATTAGAACTACAGCCAAATAACAAACGAGATAGAAAATACAAGTCTATAGGATTGTGTTTCATTTTTCCTTGTTGACTTGCTCTATATATAGTAAAAAATTACATAAGGTTGGGCGTTGCAAACAATGAAACATCCCTGTTTCACAAAGCACAGGAAACCGTTTAAGAATGAATGGATATGACCCCTACAGCTTCAATGTTATTTTTAGTTTGACTCCTTTAATTTTCCACTTGAGTTATATAAACTCATGGATACTAATAATGTTTCTCTGAATAAACCAGAAATAATTTAGGCAAGAAATGCTTTTGTCATTTTCCACTGACGAATTTACAGCCTTCCGTGCGCTTTGTGTTTTTCATTGTTAAGAGCCCGAACGTCTTAGTCCTTTCCTCCACTCCCACCGGAGCCCACGAATGAATAAACGGCCGCAGGCACACGTTCACCTCCTGAAAAGGGAAAAAGCCAACCCGGCCTCAGTCCAGACCTCTACGCCGCTGCCACTCAGTCCGCAAGACCCACCCTCAAGCCCCGCCCCTTCCACACCCCCAACAGCCGGCTTCGGCGCAGGCCGATGACGTCACAGGCGGTCGCCCAAGCTTCGAAAGTGGAGCGTCCGCCTCTGCCTCTGGGAGTTGAAGTTTCCGAGGAAGACTCGCGAGCAAGCTCAAGACCACTTCAGAAAGGCCTTCTGAGCTTGTTCCACGTTTCTCATCCACTCTTCGGACCGGTAAATCTCCTGATACTTCGATTCGCTTTCCCCTTGGTATTCTTTGGGGCAAGCAGGGAAATATGCAGCATGCTGCCGTCCGCCGACAATAGGGGCAGAGGACCTGACTGAAGCGCTGCAGCCATCTTTTTCCGGTGGGAAGGGACGTCATAGGGCGCACCCGCCTCCCGCCTGTCTTGCCTCTCTCTGATTGGTCTACTGTGGTTTAACCCCGCCTCGGCTGCGCACGCAGGGCAAGCGGCGTACCAGCGTGATGCGCGCGGGTCTTTCCGCGGTGTGTTAAGATTGTAGTTTCGCAGAGAATTGCGAGAGGGTGGCGGGCGAGTCGTTTTCCGGGGTTCAGATAGCGGAGCGTAATGTCAGGAAGATCGAGAAGATGGTGCAGCTGACGAAATGCCTGTTTAAAACTTTGGCGTTGTTTTACAAGTTAGAAAAGGAGTCGCCTCCGCGCACCCCGCCGTCCTCCTCCCCGCAGATTCGGTCGCTCAGTGGCCGCTCTCCGGCTCGGGCCCGCGGCAGAGTCCTAAGTGAGCAGGACGTGTATTGAAGGCCGCTTGGTGAAAGTTTTTGCAATCTTTTTCCTGGCCTTTTGTGGTTTAGAATGTGTTCTCTCTCCTGGAGCTGTAGTGAAACAACCACGTACAGGGAATGTGGAAGGCTGTTTATCGGTCCGTCTCACACAAAGTGACCTTGCTATTTTCATCCAGTTCTTCCTTTCATAAGTGCACTGGAGAACCTGAATCTGAGAATGAGCCCATCTCATGTTTAATTTTGTTAGAGCAAAATTTCACACGAACACCTACAGTAACTGTAAAATATATACTTTAATATTTATTGAACTTGGCTTAGTAGATGGAAGTGTACTGTACAAACATGCATGACAGAGGCGCAAGGGAAACTGCGTTGAGATTATGAATTATGATAAAAATAAACAATTAGCTGAGGGTATAGCTCAGCGGCACAACGCTTGCCTGGCAAGTGTAAGCACCTGAGTTCCATTCCCAGCACAAGAAAAAAAAAAACAAAACAAAACATGCTAGATTTAGGAAAGTGCAGTATTTTGCATGACAGATAACCCATATAAATTAGTACATCACGAGTTGGTGTACAGTAATTTATATCAAGCTAGTATTTTTGCTGCATTCCACTTTAGTCTCATTGACTAGCTTATTCATTTTAAGTGAGAATAGCATAAAAAACATTGACTAGTTCATGGTTTGTCCATGTACTGTTTGGTAGGCTGTTAAAAATACTCTCTTGCTGTGATAGGACAAGTTAAACTTAATTCGAGATTTCTCAGGTTGGAAAGGCAGGTGCTCCCCCTGGTGTACATGAGGTATAAAATACTGCTTTATATTACTTTTTAAAAATTCTAACAGAGCTAATCAATGCAGTTTTTGAACAAAATAGAGCACTAGCCAAAAATATTGCTACTAATAAAAATGCACTTTCTTGAAATACTGGTTATTTCGTGGAATGAACATTTTTCCCCTAAGAATCTTAATTTTGCTTTTAATTTAATGAGCTGTATGTTTTCTCCATCCTGTATTACTTTGGATACATTGTTGGAAACAAAAAACTGTTCTACCTTCTAAAAGAAAACACATGATGACCACCACTAGTATATGAAAGCATCCTGTTTGTTCAGGCCTTTACTGTCATTGCCAATGAATGATGTTTAGTTGGTATTAATGACATTTTAATTAATACTGGTATCTATTAATGATGTAGTTGGCTGTTAATGATATCTATTGGTCATTTCAGTTTTTTGTTATGTGTTTGTAAATTGTCTTCATCAAAAATTTTCAGTTTTTCAGAGACATCAAATAATGTCATCAGACACACCAGATTTGATTGAGACTTCTGGTGCTGAAAGAAAGCAAGACTTAAGTGAAGAACAAGAGGAGAGCCAGAAACCCAGAGTAAATGAAGGGGCTGAGCCAGTATCTAAACGCCAAATGAAGAAGCTAATGAAGCAGAAACAATGGGAAGAACAACGAGAACTCCGCAAGTACGTGTTCTGATATATACAAATGGTCTGTTCTATTTAGATGTTGAAACTTGCATAGCACTTGGGCATATTAAAAGTGATTAAATTGAAATTACCCATATTGTTAACACTGTCAGTTGGCTGTTAAAGCTATGTGTAGTTTGAGTCACTACTACTGTATTTTCTCATTCATGACAGAGTGAGTGGCAATACAATTTCTGAAATAATTTAGATAACATATATATAGTTCGTATATCCTAGGCATGGAATAAAAATGACCAATTTAGATCAGGTTTTAGTCTAACATGGATTTTACTAGAGTAAGGTTTTTTTTGTTTTTGTTTTTGTTTTTGTTTTTTTTTGCGGAACCAGGGATTGAACTCAGATCCTTGCGTTTGTGTTTGCCAGTCTAGCGCTTATCCTACTGAGCCATCTCCCCGGCCCCTAGAGTAAGTTTTTATGGAGATCTTTTAGTTTGCATCTCATGTATGATGCCAAAATTTATAAGAAAAAATAAAACAAAAGTGATATAGTTAGGAAAAACTGAATTTAAAAACAATTCTTTTCTTTTTTGTATCTTATGAGTGCTGCTTGAAAACCATGTGAGGAATGATGAAAGTAAAATCTGTCATAGTCAAATTTAATATAAGGTTTTCATAGGGACACTGTGATACCAACAGTAAATGAGATTATTAAGGAGTATAGTTAGGATTTAGAAAGCTTTAAATTACTTTGCAGTCATTTGCTTCTTGTAAAAGGTTACTGGATGAACTAAAAAGGAATTGATACAGCTACTTGACTTTTTGACAACAGAAGTGGAAAATTTCATATAGTTCAACTTTTAAAAAAGTAATCTCTTTGTTTTATTTAATAGTGTTATAAATACCTAAATCTAGAATTAAAAAATTACTTCAATTACTAATTTTAGACAAAAACGGAAGGAAAAACGCAAGAGAAAGAAATTAGAGCGACAGTGTCAATTGGAATCAAACTCAGATGGAAACGACAGGAAACGTGCTCGAAGACAAGTTGTCCATAGTACACTGCGCCTAATCATTGACTGTAGTTTTGATGATTTGATGGTCTTAAAGGTATCACATGAATCATTATCAGAAAAATCCAGTAGGTGAACAAGGCTGAATCATTCTTGGTTTTTAATTTTAATGCATGTGTTAAAATATATTTCTAGTCAAAATTTTCAAAATCTGCTCTTTAAATTAGTTAATAAATTGCTTTGATATATGTATACAATTTTTATGTGTTTATATATGTATAGATGTGGAAGGGCTACATCTATTCCATAATATGATGATAAAAGTTAGTAACTACATATTAACTATAAAGATCTGGGCTTTTACCAGTGCTATTGGTACAGTGATAATGTGTCACTTGTCTCATAAGTAGATTTTTTTCTTGAACTAGCATTTAAATAATACAGAATATAAAGTAATGGGACAGGTACAAAGTATTGACTTATAGTGATCTTGTTAGTATGCAAAGAAATTGAGAATTATCAGAATAGTAGTTAAGAGGTGACATTCTTCCTAACTATCCAGTGCTTTGCTTATTCTGCTTTTTTAATCTCATGGAATGGCAATAGATAATTTTATGTTTCAAATATTAATGCTGTTTTCTAGGATATTAAGAAACTTCATAAGCAGATTCAGAGATGTTATTCAGAAAATCGAAGAGCACTGCATCCTGTGCAGGTATGGCTGAGGAATTTAAAACAGAGTCCAGTTTCTATTTGTGTCTTTAATGACAAAAGATGTGGATGATTCCATTTGGCTTTGCAAGAGTCTCATAGATTACCTTGTTTAATGACTATTAGGACAATGTTTTCTTTTTTACAGTAATAAAGGTAAATATTTTTAACATGTTTTCTCCTATGTCACTCTTTCTCTTTGGACTTATATCCAAGTGTAAAGATGCTTAGGATTATGTGAGAGCCAGGCTGTGTGCATTACCTTTCTCATTTGTCCCAGTCATCGGCAGTTTTGCCAGAGTGCCCTTTCCACCACTGCGTTGTTGAACCTCTTGAATGTAGGATGCACATATGTCTTTTTTGTATGTTTGTGGCCAGGTGAGCCCATTCCGAGGGTGGAGCTGGTGTGGCATGTGGTGCCAGGGATTGATCCACAGTTCCTGCGTGCTTGTCTAAGCTTGCCCAAGCAAGGTGCTTTAGACCATTGAGCTGTCTCATTGGCCTACACATGTTTCTTCACCCACTGCTTGGCTCTCAGTTATATTCAGTGCTGGGAGGTGAGTAAGGGCAACAGAAGCACTGCGGCGCTACTTGTGACGTGTACACTAGTTTTTACTATGGAAGTTTTGTCTGCTTAAAGGACCTTAGTTTCTGTTGGGTCAATCATAATTTGAAAAATACTTTGTAAGCTGGGGCGAAAAACAGGCTAATTTTCAGATGCTTGTTTTTACTAAGTGATAGTAATTATAATTTCTGTATTTTATAATGTATTACACTTACATAATAGTTTTTAAATCCTTGCTTTAGTCTATAGTCCCTGATAACCTGTGATTCAGATTTAATATGTGTTAGGGTTTAAAATCAAATAAAATTTTATATACTTTGGACTGGTAAGAAAAACAGTAGTGGTTCCAAAAAAGGGTGAGTTGTTGACAGCTTGATTTAAAGGTAGTGAGTTTGCTGCGACCTGATCATTCTGGAGAGCAGATCACAGCTACTTCGAAGTAAAACTAAATGTAGAGGAATCCTGTTGGTAATGGTTTGTCAGAGACACCCACAGAATGTCAGATCTACCTCAGATTTCTTGTATGATCAAGCTGTGTCACAAATTATTTTTTTCCAGGTCAATGAAAATATATTTCATATTTCATTGATGATCAGATGAGTGTACAAGAAAATAAAACATTGCGCTTAAATGATGATTTTCTCTTTTTCTGTACCTACCAATCCCTTACAGTTTTACTTGACAAGCCATGGAGGCCAGTTGAAAAAGAATATGGATGACAATGACAAAGGATGGGTCAACTGGAAGGTAATACAAACAGCCTGGATCTCACATAATCCTAAGCATCTCCACAGTTGGAAATGTGTACATTTTTACATACATTCCAAATAAAGCTTCTAAGCACAATATTCAAATCCCATATGTCACTGTACATAACTCTAAAGTTATTTATTGAAGGACTGGGGAGATAGCTCAGGAATCTGAGCACTGCCTGGCAAGCAGAAGGACCCGGATTCAGTCCCAGCACTCCATGGGATGCTGGCTCAGGAACCCCACATGCACCATGCCAGCCACTGAAATTGGGCGTGGTGGCACGTGCCTGTAATCTCTGTGCTGGTGAGACTGAGAGAGCAGGATCACTATGAGTCAGAGCTGCGTAGGAAGACCCTGTGCCAAATAAATAAGAGATTAAAAATATTTTAAAGTTATATACCAAAAAAGCTGAAGAATGAAATATCTGTTAAATTGTACCTGTCCTCATTAAGTCTTACTTGCTATCTGACTACTGACTTAAAACATCCTTTGAAAAAGGAAAAGTTTTGAAAGTTTGCTTTTTCTCCTAGTAAACTAGCTGTGTGATACGTGAGGGTAAATATGAAGTTACTGTGAAATTTGAAAGTGTGTCTGGATTCTGTTTCTTCTGAATCTGCTACCCAATATGTGCTCCTAGGCACATGTAGCCATTGAACTTTTATGATAGACTGAAATGTGAATAGAGAGGTGTTATAACTGAAATACTGGATTGAGGGGCAGAGGGAGAGAGCGCTTTTATCTAATTTAAAACAGTTTGTGTTTAAGTGATACTACGGGCATGTTGTGCTAATAAAATACATAGTTAAAATGATTTTCACTGGTTTCTTCCCTCTCAACTTTCAAATGTAGCTCTTAGGAAATTTAAATTACAGATATTATGTGTAGCTGTCCTCTTGACCTGACTATTCTTAAGTCACTTGCACAAATGTGAATAGATTGGCTCAGGACCAACCCCTGAAGGATTGTCCTCACCAGGGAAGCAGCAGGTTCTTCTCACAGGAATGATTATATTGCTTTATTAATAAATTCTAATATGAACACTTTCAAAGGCTTTTTAGGTTTACAGATACAGTGTATTCACCAAATGTTTTATGCTATGTCTTTTTCTAAAAAAGTGTTATTTTGATTCATGGACTTAATTTGTTTCATGATTCTAGGGAAAATGGCCATGTTTGTGTTCATACAAAAAAGAGTTAACCATAGTGGTGTTCATCACCTGATGCAGTTTGCAAATAAAAACAAAATTTTGCCAAATGTTTCTGTTTGCACACCAGATTGTTTGCAAATAAAAGCGTTCATGAACTGAGACACAACAGTAATGTAGTAAGAATAGGCATACTTTGAATTATTTTGTGTCTTGCTCAGTTTATGATTTCTGTCGTCAGTTTTCCAGAGAAATAGGTTGACTGGTTTCTAGTTATGCTGGTTCCTGTTGAGGTCTTATTAAATGTAAGGGTCACATTTACAGTATATTGTCTTACAAAGTGCTGACCAAATAGCTCAGCAGATCAAAGCACCTGCAAGCAGACGCAGGGGCCAGGGGTTCCATCCCTGGTCCTGCTGTGTCAGCCCTGTCCCCCGGGGTGCACTGAGACAGCAATTGAGACTGGGTGTGGTGGCACGTGCCTGTAATCCCAGCTCTTGGGAGGCTGTAAACAGGTGGATCACTATGAGTCTGATCTAGTAGTGAGACCCTGAACACCCTGTAGATCCTTCCCTAAAATACAAAAAAAAGTATACGGTCTTCCAGACAGTGGCTGTTTATGAATAAATAACTGATGCATGATAAGTGCCTGCTTTTTCCTTTATTTCCTTCAAAGTTATTGAGGAATAGTCACCTGAGCATGGTCACACTTCTGCACAGTTAATGTGGTTTGCGAAATCCTGGCTGCCAACTGTTATTCAATCTTGTCCCTTTGACCCAATGATTTTGCTAGAGAAATTTTCAAATGTGTATCTGTAAAAACTGACACATTTACAATGAAATCTATAAGCAGTTTCCTTTTGATGGTTCAAACAGATGGAGAGGAAGTAATTAACTGAAGACAATTTTATTGGCTAGAAGCCAGTGTGAGTAAGTAGATAATAAAAATGCATTTGTTGTTTTGCAACACATAAAGTTAGAAAGGTGCCTTGGGAGAGAATTGCTTAAGTTAAAACGGTTTGAATTTTACCTGTGAGAAAAAAGACATTGAGAGCAGTTATTTAGAAATTACTCCACCATCAACATGTAGAGATAGATTGGGAAAGGTCAGAGGCCAGAAAAAGAAAAATAAAACTAGAAGGCTGTTTAAATAATTGATAAATATTAAAGGAGAATATTTTAAACAGTGATACTCTTTTCAAGCTTCCTTTCAGATGTTTTTGTATGAGTTTGTTTTGGGAAAAGAAGATAATCATTTTTGGCCAACTTTCACAAAGTCCTATTAATAAGATTTGCCCCCTTGTTTTTTAAAGGATATCTACATCAAACCAGAGCACTATAGTGAACTCATAAAAAAAGAAGACCTGGTCTATCTTACATCAGACTCCCCTAACGTCCTGCAGGAATTAGATGAGTCAAAGGCCTATGTGATTGGAGGACTGGTAGATCACAACCATCATAAGGTACTATTAAGTTTTCTTATGAATATTCCTATTTGTACGTTCATCTTACGTTTGTTTATACATACTTAAAATTTACATTTCAGCATTTCCTGATATTTATTGAGCACTTACTACTTTAACTACCACTTAAGCTAAGCAAAGAACTTAGGTGTGTTAACTTTCTGCCCTCAGTACAATACAGTGAGATCAGTGCAGTTTCTACCTTCATTACACAGATGAAGACTCCAAAGCACAAAAAAATTAAGCTTAAAATCTGTAATAGGTGGCAAATCACAGTGTGTGAAACAAGGCAGATTATTCCCAAGTCCATGTCTTTAAGCACTCTGTTGTACTGATGTAAGCTGCTGCTGCTAATGAATTGCTAAGCCATTGAAATTATAACAGGTTTTTGGTTTTTTCAAGCCAGGATCTTGCAGTGTAGTTCAAGATGGAATGAAATTACTTTATAGCACAGGGTGGCCTTGAAACTCATGGTAATTCTGCATCCGTCTCCCTAGTGCTGGGATTACATGTGTGTGCCACCACCATATCTGGCTTATAAAAGTTTTCCAGTTTAAGATTTTCATGAAATGTTTTTCTGTTCCCCTACCCAGTATTTATACTTATCTGTATTCCCGTCCCACATATTTATTCAAATGAAGCTACAGAAATGTATTTTCTAAAGGAAAGCATCATCTTGTAGTTTGCAGCCTGCTGAGTTAAGCTTAACTAAGGAAAAAGCATGTGTTGTCACGAGAGTAGTAATAAGTGATTCCTTACTCCTCTCATGTACTCATCTTACAGTAGAGCTTCTTGTAGTGTTGTGATGTTTATATCTGCCTGTGTGTGAGGGAGCTGTAAGATGAGTCATGAGATATGCAGCCAGGCTGAGAAAATGAGTTTAAAGATATCAATCAGTTTAAATTTAAGTCTTCAAAAGTTGGGTCCGGGAAGATAGCTCAGTAGAATAAGTGTTTGCCTGGCAAGAGCAGAGTCCTAAGTTCAATTCCTGGTACCGCAAAAAAAAAAAAGAAAGAAAGAAAAAAGAAAAGTGGCTTCCAAATGGCATATGTGCAGAACTGGGGCTTTTTCTTACATTATGTGTTCTTCTAAACTAACACCCCTTTTTATTTTATTTACAAAACACCCCTTCCACCTATTATTTGCCTCCAACTTAATAGCTAGTAGTTGAGAAATACTGCTCTCTTTTTTTCTTATGCTAATTTGACCATGTCAGTCCTAGTTAGACATAGGCATCAAGATTTTATTTTTGAGAAGAGATGAAATTCCTATTCAACAGATATTTAGTTGACAGGGAAAAAATAAAATTTACAGATAGGTTTTAAAGTCTTTTCATTTAGGTTTTCATTAATCTCTTTTTGTCATTTGTGCCTCTTATTGTTAAGTAATTGAAACTTAAATTTCTTTATACTTTTTAATATTCATAGAAAGAGTGTAGTGCTTTTTTTGTAATTTAGTTTCAGTTATTTGTCTATATATTGTGATACTGGGGATTGAACCTATGAGCTATTTCCAAAGTGCCCTTTTAAAATTTTTAAATTATAGTTTTTGTTTTGAGATGAGGTCTTACTAAATTGCTAGGGCTGGGCTCTAGCTTACAATCCTCCTGCCTTAGCCTCTCAGGATCCTGGGATTCTAGATGTGCCAAACTACCGTGCCCCCCCAAGGTTGAGTATGTTAAACAGAGAAATGCAATAGACAATGGGAAAAACATATTTCAGTCAAAAGGCAAGTGAGTTGATTTTTCTTACAGTTTTTTCACTGAGGACCTCTAGCTGACTGGGAATAGAACTGATGTGGCTTCAGTAATTATGAATTGGAGACGTCAAAACAAATGCTCTAAACATTGAAATTGTTAAGGGAATATTTCTAAATTAGCAGTTACACACATACACACACCTCACCCTTTTCAGATAATAGCCTCTAACTAAAGACTTTTCTAAAAATTATTTATATTGTCATAGACTTTGCAGTAATCTAATATTCTGTCTAAGCTCCAGCATGCTTGTTTTAGGGATTCACATATAAACAAGCATCGGATTATGGGATTGATCATGCCCAGCTTCCTCTTGGAAATTTTGTGAAGATGAATAGTCGGAAAGTTCTGGCAGTTAATCATGGTAAGCTCTAACAGGGCACCCTGAAAACACACCTGTGAGAGATTTGGACAAATAGAAAGTACTATACCTTCCTGGAGGAACAGAATTTTAAGACAGCATTTGTAATTTATTCAAATAATGGAGATGATAATGCTTATTTTGGAAAATTTTGAAAGTATGCAGAAATGTGAAAATAGTAGATAAAATTTCATTACTCAGATATTTAGTATTTACGTTTTGATAGGTTTCCTTGAGTTCTTTTCCCATGGTAATGTATTTGTATAATTGGATTCTTGCTCTATTTCATACAGTGTTTTTAAACAGGGATATTTTACACTGTTTATCATTGTTTTTCCATGTCCCTGATGATTACTAGTAGCTTACATAACTTCCATCATGTAAATACAGATGTTTAATGACTGGTCCAGTAGGTTAATTGTATCACTTGCTAAATCATTTGTGTATAGTATGTACATTACAATATAGAACAATAAAATCGTCAAAGGAAGCTCCAGCTTGATGACTTTGCTTTTATTTGCAAAACTTCTATGCAGTACTAAAATATTTAACAGGACATAAAACTGCAATATTGTACTACACAGTACCTCAGCAAAAATTATAGTACTGTATAAATAAGGGGTACCACACATGCAAAAAAGACATTGATATTGTAGAAACAAGACACACAGAACTGTATGAAAATGAAAGATGGACCATACATCTGAACAGTGTACTTGTGTTACAAGTTTAAACAGTCATTAAACAGGTAGGTCATTGAGAAATATCCATATTTGAATAACCATTTTCCTTTGGCTGAAAATTGTTTTTGCTAGCCTAAACAACATTGTGGTGAATTTTCTTGGTCCTGATTCTTGAACTAGTTTTTTTCTTTCTCATACTTTAAGGAAAGGTTTTAGTGCATAACTACCTAATGAACCTTAAATACTTTCTTTATAACAGGTGTTAGGGAATTATAGAAATGTTTGATTCAAGGAATGAACAACTTCTAAAGCCTTTTATTTCTAGTAGGAATGAGTTTTCCACAAAATAATCCAAAGTAGCCCTTTGGCACTAGTTGAAATGAGAGTACATTAGAGATATATTGATAATCTCCTTAATGTTAAACAAATGAAAACAGCAGATGAAAATCTGCACAGAGTGAGTGGCTCGTTACAGGAAAGCTAGAAGAAAATTAGATGAATACTAATCATGTGCCTTATAGCTATATATTAGTACATAGAGGATAAAGAAAGGAGTAAGAACAGGAAATGTGTATTGACCACAATTGATGAGCAGTGATGGTGTCTGTGGCTTGAGAGCTGCCTGGGGAAGCTTGTGAGCCTTGGGGCAAGTGGACTCTGACAGGTAAGAGTGAAATAGTCATTACACCAAACTGGGTACTTTAAAGGACAGAGTGCAGTGTTGGGATGGACTTGACCAAGGAATGCACTGAGTGTGTCTTTATTGCAGTATTTGAGATTATTCTGGAATACCTGCAAACAAGAGACTGGCAAGAAGCATTTTTTACTATCTTACCCCAGCGGAAAGGAGCTGTTCCCACAGACAAAGCCTGTGGCAGTTCTCCCCAGGGCCAGCATGCTGCCAGAGGTGAAGGTGGATCGGACAGTGAAGGGGAATACAGAAGTCAAGCACCAGATTCACCACATCCAGAGGAAGCACAGAATGAGAAGGCCTGCTGAGTCTGCAGTGAATCTTCCGCACCATTACCAACTGGTTCTCTTTGCACTTAGGGATACGTTAAGAGGAAGCAACAAGTGAGGCGACTCTGAGAACAGTCACCTTGGAACAGAATGTTCTTTTGTCTTATTTATGTTGTGAATTTAAACTTTTTTTGAACTAAATAACAAGCCTTTTATACTTTTAAGAACTTAGGATTTAAATGTAAATCTTTTTTGTTAAGGTTTGAATAAGAGTTTCAGAAAAATTTACTTTATTACCTCATGGGGTAGTAGTGTACCTTGGTTTTCATTCACTTACTGGAATATATTCTCCAGAATGTGCCTTCTGACTTTAGTTTTATTTTATTTCAGATCAATACCTGATCTGTGGCCTGTTTATTTGTGAGGGCTGATTTTCACAAACCTACTGTAAGTCTATTAGGAGGTTGTATAGGGGAGTTACCCTCTATTTGCAGCTTTCATTTTCAACTTCGGTACTGCAAAGACATACCATAGCTCTGGGAAGAAATGCAGTTTGCTGGATGCAGCTTCATCTTGTTGGGGCTGTGGAGCCCTCTCTGTGCCTCCTTTTTATTGTCTCTCATGGAAATAACCATGCAGAGTTGAGTCTCTTTAATACATTCTCTTAATTTCTTTAATGCTAATAAATTACTTCAGTTATACAACTCTTTGCTGGCTAGATTTATAAGGCTGTTACTTTTGAAAGATGAGTTTCATCTTTACTGAATTTAAAATAAAGCAGGTCTTAGCTATCCTTTACTTCTATTTTTTTTAAATACAATATTTGTTATTTAAGGTGAATATTGTGCAGCTGTTTCATCATATAGTGATATTCAAATTGATATTTCTATAACAGACATGTGTGAAAGTAGACACCTGTTTGTCCCTGTCACGTATGGTTCTCAGTTATTAGATAGTGATACTTACCAAGGCTTACTTCTTTATTTGTGTGAATGGTTGCATTAGACACTAAGAATCTTATAAAGTGTAAACACCCTCAGGAGTTAAAACTCAGGCCAGGAAGGGCACAGAACCCTACCCTCTGTAGTGAGAAGCCAGACCAGGGATGTTGGCTTTCAAAAGAAGCTGGGTGAGAAAGTCCTGGCATTAAGTCCAGTGATCTGCTTGGACTCCCTTCCTGCTGCCTATCTCCAGCATAGATTAGTGCCACCAGTGTGGCCAATGACACACCTTGGCTGGGAAGGTATCCACAGTACAGGTGGAGAGGCCTCTGCTGGCACACCAAACAAAGCCACAATCCACGAAGCTAGGCAGAAAAACCCTTGCTGATCTTGAGACTGCAGATCTTGGAGGATAATGCATTTTTTTAAAAAAAACATATGAACTTTTTTCAAAATGATTTTTTCTTTCATTAAGTTTTTGATGTTTGGAGTTTTTTGTGTTTTAAGATTTTTTTCTTTTGTCTCTTCTTTTACTTATCTGTTCTTTTCTGTTACCTTTATCAAATTCTGTTATTTTTTGTTTGTTAATAGGATCTTTTATCTTACCTTTTCCTTCTTCTTTTCAACTTTCTTTGCTTAATTTTTCAAAATTATCTTCTTTCATTTTCCAGTTAGCTCTTCTACACTTATTGATATAGCCATTAAGGTTTATTAATCTTTAGACAGTTTATTTCTAAGCTATTGCTTTTCAGTTATTTTCTGTTTTTTAGTGGCAGTATATATGTTGCATTTAGTGTGAGATTCAGTACCCAAGTCTTGGTGCCAGAATTTCATACAAGTACTGTAATAAAGTTTACAAGAAAATTTGTATGGTGAGGACTGGCCTGATAGTTCAGTGGACTAAAGCACCTGCTTAGGCTTAAAGCACCTGCATTCCTTAGGCAGAATGCAGAGGCCGGGATTTGATCCCCAGTGTTCTGGCCCCGCCCCCAGGGCATGCTGAGACAGTGATTGAGACTGGGACTGGTGATGCACACCTGTAATCCCAGCACTTGGGAGGCTGTAAACAGAAGAATCACTATGAATGCAGTTTACATAGTGAGACCCTGAACACCCTGTAGACCCTGCCCTAAATACAGAAAGAAAAAAAAAATTATGGTGAGATCCCCAAACCATAACTAGATAAACTGTACAGTCAATATAAACTATGACCTTTTAAAAAAAATCGGTAGTACTCTACTTTTCAGTTCTCATGGGGATGGATTAGCACCATTAAGACTAACTCAGTTTTAAATTTTTTAAATGTATTTATTTGGTACAGGATCTTGCTACACAGCTCCAACTCATAGTGATCCTCCTGTCTCAGCCTCCCCAAGTGCTGGTATTACAGGCCTGTGCCACCACACCTGGTTTTGGTGACTGGCACAGCATGTCCAGTGTTCTGGAGCTGGCATGTCATGCAATACCAGGGATCAAACCCAGGTCCTTACTCTTGCCAGGCAGGCACTCCTGAGCTATTTCTCCAACCAAGTTTTATTTTTCAAAGGTTCAGACTGTTGTGAATAAGTATGGTGTACTATCATGGAATAATGTATTTGACTTAATTACTTTATGTATAACAGGGCACTGTATAATTATGAAAGGTGAAAGAAATCATTACAGGGACCACATAGTCTGCTTTCCACTAGTTATAATAAGTACTGTATTACTTACCTAGGGTTACCATGAGAAATAACTGTAAGCTGGGTGGCTTAAAAACAAATTTATTTTTCAGTAGTTACAGAGACTAAAAGCCCAGAATCAGATGTCTCAGGACCACATTCCTCCAGATACCCTAGATGAACCCTTCCTGCCTGCTGGCTTTCAGTGTCACTGATGCCTGCTGTGCCTGGCTGGCAGGTCCTTTCTGCTCAGTCATTGAATAGTCTGGCCCTGTCTCCCATGTCAGGGCCCAGATTTTCCTCTTTACCATTGTCCAGTGTGACCTTATCTTAGCCTAACTACGTCTGTGAACACCCTATTTCTAAATAAGGCAGAGTCATAGTTACCAGATAGATGTCAGGACTTGATTTATCTTTGGCATACAGCTCCACCCTGTGTAAACGCATACCTTGCCATGGTGTTGCTTGACTTGAAAGCAGTGATTACCATTTCTTTTAAAAGAATTAATTTCTGAAGGATTTTAAAATTGATTTCAAATAATATTTATGCTTTCTCTTAATCATTCAACTTTTGGTTTATTTAAATGCATTATTAGCTAAAGCCTAAATATTAAAATCATTTGTTTTGGAATATAGTAAAGATAAGGGACTCAGCTAATGCATAAAAACAGTAAAAGGATATATATCTGCTGAGTAAGAGGACTTGTCTCACTTAATTTTTTAAAATAACTATACTCTTCATAAAGCAATCTTGTTTATTTTGGTACTAGGGATGGTACCATACCACAGCTATATCCTTACCTCTGTGCTTCCCTACCACCAGAGGCAGTGGCTCAATAAATTGCTCAGTGGATACTTGAGCTTGCCATCCTCTACCTCAACCTCTCCCAGTGCTGGGAATATGGGTGTGCCGCTGTGTTCACTTAAGATAGTTCTCTTTTAAGGAAAAGAGGGCCTTTTTTTTCTGATTTCCCAAGATCTGTATTTAGACTTCTTGTAGCATTTGAAAAATGTGAAAATGAAAAAAACAGTTCTACTCATGTCTTTTAGGAGGTGCATAAACAAAAATGGAATCTAGCTAATAGAACTGAAAAAGTAGTATTTCATTTTATAGACAGAAAAGGTCCTTGAGATGAAGTCTATAAAAGACAAAAATTGTCTGTAGAACACTGAGTGTATGTACAGATGGCAGGTTAAAAGTGAGATTAAAAAAGATAAAATGGGACTGGCCAAATAGCTCAGTGGGTTAAAGCACCTGCAAACAGGTACAGGGGCTGGGGCTTTGATCCCCAGGCCTGCCATACCAGCCCCGCCCCTGGGCATAGTGGCGTGTGTCTGTAATCCCAGCGCTTGGGAGGCTGTAAATGGGAGAATCACAAGTCTGATCTAGTAGTGAGACCTTGAAAAACCTGTAGACCCTTCCCTAAAA